TTAATTTGAGAAGATTTAATAAGTATAATTTTTGATTCAATAAACCCCTTTTTTTCGTGGAGTTCTCAATTTATTACTCCACACAATATCTCTTTATATGTGATTCGATGAATTCACTTAAGATTTGATGCTATACTTTGTCTTGTTTCGACATATTTGAGAGTAATGAGTTTCAATCATTACATTTTACTCATCTATGCTTCATAATCTATATGTTCTAAACTTATTGTATGTGTTTTCTTTTTCATTATCCTCTACTTTCTTTTCTCCACATTAATTTTCTCTGCTTGTCTCTTTTTTATAATTATTTTTTAAATCTCTGGCAACACTTCCTGGCCGATACATTAAAAAATTTCCATTAAATAGTCTCATTTATCTCGTTTTCCCTCTTTCGTTCAGGTGGAGACGATTGGCGATGCCTACATGGTTGCCTCTGGCTGTCCGATTCGCACTTCTTACCACGCGCCGTTGCTGGTAGAAATGGCTCTGGATATGATTGACGACGTGTCTACCATCAAGATGGAGGAATTGAGGATTCGAGTGGGTTAGTTGACACTTTAAACTTCCACTGAACTCAATGCATCACATCACCTTTTCGGGAATCTTATGTAAAATATATGCTGTGGTATGAAGTAACGCCAATGCTGTATGGGATGCATTGGCAAGTAATCAGGCTTTAAAGAATAACTATTGGGGAAATACTTACAAAGTATAAAGAGATGGTGATAATGAATATAGGACACTAACATCTTAAACAATATTGCATTTAGATGGAGATACATTGTCCATTAATTTAATTTACCCATTTGCATCGTAAACCCGGGTTTCCGTGATACAGGCCAGGTCGGCGCAATTGGTTGACGGGTGACCAACGGCTCTGAAATAAGAACAGATAACCAAAGCCAATAAAAAAGTGATAGCGTCTTAATCTGAAGTGACAACAAATCTTTATGTGCAAAACTGTGTGGCAGATGACATTGATTCTATATTGGCAGCCTGAAGTTTAATATTATTTTCTAAAACTTGGCATTCAGAGCCGCTTATTTGTATTGACGATTAAGTATACATAAAAAGATATAAATGATGGGAGCTCTCTAAGGCGAGCTAAATTAAACTAAGGATTTATAGAAGTGGGTTGACCTCGTTGTCGCAACTTGGTCTTGTTGTCAGGGGGAATATGTAGAACGCACCTAGTGCGAAGTCGTCTGCCATAGTAGTTGTCATGATTCCCAGCATCAGACAGTGGACCTGATACATTCTCAAAGAGACAAGTTCGTAGGTTGGTGCGGATAATGGCAAAGCTCACTGATCATACCGACTACGTATCCGGCCAAACGTTTGAGAATGTATCAAGTCCACTGTCAGATGCTGGGAATCATGACAACTAC